AGGACAGGACAGGACAGAAGAGGACAGGAGAGGACTCAGAAACATGCTGGGAAATTAGAAACAGTGGCATGTCTGCTTCTCAAGCCTTTGGGTGACATTCTCTCCTATACCCACTGTCTCCCCAGACCCCGACCTGCTCCCCGACCCAGCAGCCACTGCTCTCTAGGCTTCTTCCATAGTCCTTGCCAGGTGCTCTCCATGATAGTGGCAACAATACAAGGTTTGGAGCACAGCAGATGAGTCTGGTCTCCAGCCATCAGCCTCTGCCTGTCTCTATGGCTACATCTGTCACTCTAACACTGGCCATACTCAAACTCGAGGCTACCAAGCTCCACCTCGTCCATACCTGCCCTTACACCGCAGCTAAATACTCAAAGGACAGTATCTGCCAGATTTTCCATTTCTGTTTGGACAAAGGTGTTAGATCCCAAGTTAGGGAGGGAGTGGTCAACCCAGTCTGGACTCCAGATTATCTAAGAAACCTGCCAGAATCATCTGTTACTCAGGGAAAGTTCAAACAACCACAGAAGACAGAGGACTCAAACTGGTGCTTGGCACCTGCTGTAGCGCAGCATCTTGGAGGGACCTGTCAACCACTACTGCTGCTATCTGTAGAGCCACCTTTTGTCCAGCAAGTGCTCTGGAACTGCTACTCGATCTGCTACTGTCGAATGAACAGGTGGAGATATGAAATTCAATGACCAGACAAGGACCTCTTTTATCTTATTACTGAGCCTCTCTGTAGCCCAGGCTGATCTTGAATCGGATGGAGATCTGCCTGCCTCATGTGTGACCATACCCAACTCCTAGCAAGGTTCTAGACATTCTCATAGTGTTTCTGAGATCACTGCTGCTCAGTAACTCCTCCAATGACCTCTTTGGTGAGCACCCCTCTCTTTAATGTCCCCAAGTTTTTGGAGGAGTGTTTGTTTAAGAGACTGAGGAGGCTGGCAGGGTTTCCATCGATTGAAAAAGCTAAGCCACTTAGGGAGAAAGAACTTGAGTATGGGTGGTTGGTCACACAGCAAATTCCAAGTACAGACCATACAAAATGGTAAAGGCTCCTGGAAGAGAAATGTCTCACATAGACAATGGATGCTGCCTCCCATTTCTGGAAGCCTCTAGAAGTCTGAATCCAGGAGAGCCTGGTTTTGCTGAGCAGACCCCTAGTGAACTCATTGTATGCTTCCTTGGGCTTTCTTCCTGATCACATTTTTGCTCCTCATGCTCATGCCCTGCCCACTTTGATCTCACACACCCTTGGGAGTTTAGTTATCTATGTGCAGCTGAAGGTTCTCCAGGAAACCCCTGTCCTGATAAAGACTGGGGACCCTCCCTCCTCCTTGTGCAGCCACTGAACTCCTTGTTGTATCTTTAAATGATGCCTGGTGCCAGATGTCTGGGACCTCAGACAAGGAGGAATAGGGGGGAATGGGTCTTAATACTGAAACTACAAGTTAAAGCTCCAAAGCCACCTATCTTTATTAGAAAGACAAACTGGGCTCCTTTGCTTGGAACTCTCTGTGGCAGGGAAGCTGGCTGTGGTGGGTCAGTCTGACCCACTGCCAGGCAAAGAGGAGACTGCAAGTAACCAGCAGATGGCAGTATGTCTACGAGGAATCCGACACTACCCAGAGGTCTGAGCGAAGCTCAGGGCTCAATTCCAAGTTTGACCCATGAGGAGATGTCCTCATGGGATTGGAATGGCAGGAACTGAATGAGATATTTGAGCAGGATGCAGCATTCTTTGATTCTGCTGTTTCCTGATACAGTTTCCCAAACTCCCACCCAGGCCTCACCTCCTTATGTAACACTGTTATTTACCCTTCCCGTCAGGTAGATTTATTCACTGAAGACAGAAGCAACATAAAACTGCTATTTCTAGGACTTCAGTTCAGTGTGAGATGGCATTTTTATTTGCCTTTTATTTCCTCTTACAAATGTAAAAAGGAAGATTTTTGGAATTCTGGGCAGTGAATACCTGAAGGCTAGACTGAAGCAGCATAGGCCAGAATGCATCTGGCTTTCTCCTGAGGACTGCAAAGAAAGAAGGCCTGCCTTGCATTAAGAAGTCGGGAGCTCTACTTCAGGAGTCCTTGAACCAGGTTCTGGTAGAGCAGAGCTACTGGGAAGCACTTAATATCTGTTGTGGTAAAACAATGTAGGTCAGCCCAGAGAACTCACCAGAAAGAGGTTCTGTAATCTTCATTGTAGAGAAAACAGAAGAAACTACAGATATTCTCATGCACAGGATATGTGTGGAATGCACATCAGGTCCCATGAAAGCTGAATCTTAAGGGGGAAATGTCATCTGGTGTCATTTTTCTCCATCATTTACTACATGCAATTTTACCAAAGTTTGCAAAAGCACTCCTGAAATTCCTAGTGTGGTGTGCTCTTGGTCCAGAAACAGCCTGAGATGCACAGGTATGATGTCTGGGCATATGATCCCTGAGCTGCAGGTATTCTTGAGTTAGGAGGAGCAACCTGAGCAGGGTGGAGACTGTGCCAGAAGCTTCCTGAAATATATGCTTCTATTTAATAGATAATTAGGTGGTAAAAGTTGAGTGGTCAGTACAGAGTGCTGAGGCAGAAATATAAAACCCAAGAGCATCATGGGTAAATGTAGAAATGCAGAGAGGAATCACCAGTGTGCAGACTTTAAGCTGACAATGTTAGAAATGATATTTAGAAACCACTGGTCTTGAGCTAAAGAAATGACCTTGGGCCCCAGGACAGCACAGGATGTGTGTGGTTTGTTGGATTCAGCCCAAGTAAAGACCCTGAAGTTCCATTAAGGGACGTACACACATGGGCCCCAGGGATAGAGACTGAATAACACCATGTGACTTAGGATCCATCCTGAGGCAGCAGCCTGGGTACAAAGTAAGGAAGGGAGGCAGGCTCTGGAGCCCAGTCTTCCACATTCCGAAACTCTCTGTTCAACTTCCTGGCCTCTGAAATCTGCTGCAAGAATGGCCAGAGGCTTGCCTGGGAGAAGATAGTAACAGCAGTAATTTGGGAGATGCATGCTCTGTAGGACTGGGCCAGACCTGAGGCTGGAGCAACATGCTATTCTGGAAAGCACAGTCCTGGGAATGTCTGCAGGAGTGACTAGCTCTTCATGCCCACAATCATGCCCAACTTTCCCTGGAAATGGAGATGGGTGCAGGTATACCCTCTTTGGAAAACATCAGCCCAGAAGCTCCCATTTCAGGCACCTGACTAGCACAGACAACTGCAGCAATGTGCAGAAGTTACTACAGTCATTAACATACCCAATCCTAATTTGACCTTAACTCTTCTTTCACGGGTAAACTAGTCCAGATCTACACAACACATGCCCCCTGGTGGATCCTAGCCTACAGCTAACAGAGATCCTACAGACCATACTATGGCAGAGCACTCTTGTCCCTGGGATGCTATACATATTAGCATTGACACACTCCAAGCATTAAATGTATGTTGTGGGCAAAGTTGTAAACAACACCTCACCCCAGAAAATCTGGTCACATCTGAGCTCAGCACTTATGATTATATACATAAATGATGCTGATTATGTGAATGTGAACGAGAAGCTACTACAGAGGATGACTGTAGGAGATTTCTATTATTTCAAAGTGAGATCCTTCTAATTGTCCAAAGAAAATCTGACAGTAAAAAAGTCGTGGCATCCCATGACAATAGCCTCACCATCTCATGTCTGCACAAGCAGACAGTGATACCCTTGCTTGTACATAGCACCTTGTGTTGCACTTATCAAAGCCTATAAAGGAGCTATGGGAATAGGACTGTGTCTGTTCCATGTGAAACACCAGCAGCAGCAGCAGGTAAGGCTGTGTGAAGGTGGCTTTTCAGGAGCAAAACATGCCGAAAGCAGTCTTCTGCCTTCATACCTCCTGGTAGCTGCAGACAGGCTCCCTAGAGGGAGAACTCTGGGCAATGGACTTAGTCTGGGTTTATTTCCAGGGGGAGAGAAGTGTGCTTTGTTTTGTTTCCTGAGAGGTCTCATAATAGCCACAGCTGGCCTTGAACTCTTTTTGTAACTGAGACTTTCCTTGAATTCCTAATTTTTCTGCATCTACTACCCAAGGGCCAGGGTCATAGGCATGTTCCAATGTACCCATGCCCACATGGGAAGGCTTTACTCCAGGGGAGTCAAGGCTGTGGAAGTGAGAATTGCTCACACCTGGGTAAAACGAGGGTGCAGAGAAAGGAATGCTAGCATTCAGCTTGTTTCCTCCTTTTAAAACCCTTTTAAATTAGTCTAGAATCCTGGTATATAGAATGGTATTACCCACATCTAGAATGGCTCTTCTCTCCTCAGTAAAAACTCTGAGGGGATAACCTCAAAGATACAAGCAGGCAGTTCCAAAGCTAGCGATGGTGATGATGCAGAAGCACATTACCTTTCATCGGGAACAACCTGAAAACCTGGCTGAGTAGCGGGTCTGCTTTCAGAGATAACGGTGACATTATTGTTGTTGACTTTATACGTCTTCATCCCAAACAGTTGGTGGGAGGCTGATGTGAAGGGGATCATGGTGACCAAATCTGGGTGGAACATTCTTATTCTACTTTGTTTCATTGTGCTTGAAATCAGGTTGAACCTAGTTGTTGTATAAGTTTGATGCTATCCATAAGAAGCAAGTTTTTAAGGAATATAGTCACTCCATAAAAGCTGCACTAGCTCTGTGACTTACACCAGGAAGAGCATGAGTCCCCTTGCCTCATATACCTGCTCTGGAGACCCCACTCCAGAGACCACACTAATTATACACCCATGATCAGCCCATGAGCATGCTTATGTACACATAGACCATGTTACCATGTCACATGTTACTTGTATGTATGTGCTGGCACATAGCACCACGGATCTGATTTTCTCAAGCTCTCTGTGATACCAGTTGAACTGATAAACACTCTGAGATACTTCACCTGTCACTGCAGGGCTTGGGCTCTCTTGAAGCCCATGGCTAACAGCCTTCTCTTATCAACAGCTTGTCAGGATGTCCAAGAGCCACATCAGCAATGAAGAAAGCAAAGCTGTCTGGAGAACAGATGTTGACTATCAAGCAGCGAGCCAGCAACGGTAACTACACCCTGGAGTCCCCAGCACTCCTGCTGGTCAGAGAGACCAGCAATGGTAACAACATGAATGAATGATCATTCATGTTGGTTAGAGAGGTGGGATGTCACTGTATGCCAGTTCTGTATCAGTGACTTAGCCCAGTGTTCTAAGACCACAGAAGCAGAGCTTATTAGGCCCCACCCATATCCCATGTCCCATGTCTCATGTCCCAGGATCTGCAACACTGCGTCAACCTGCTCACTAACAACCATGGTACTCTCTTTCTTCCTCTATTTGGTCCCCCATTCCTAAGCTATAATCTAGGAGCAGCTTTAGAACACTGAGGACAAAAGGCAAGGATAGCAGCCTCCTTCCTGTCTTCTCTGTCTCAGCATGTTCAATAATGGAGTATCTTGAATTGATCTTTAACGTTTGTCCAGTTCAAGAGTCCCCATTGCTAGTGACTGGTTAGTATGTGTATACAAAGTTTACCAAGGGAATTCAGAGGTCCTGGAAGGATTTTGTACGCAACAGCTAAGCCATACTAACCCACAGGTACTAGTCACACTCCACAGTCTATCCTTATGACTCTTGGATCTCATTTACATAGTTCAGACAGTAACTAAAATTCATTTGCAAGCACAGAGGCAATGCTGTGGCACCTTTGGAGTTGTCTATTCTCAAGTGCAGAGAGAAGCAGTAGCTAAGTGCCAATGGTGGTTCCAGCCAAGACGAAGGGATATTCTGCCCTATTCTCTTAGGTCTCAAACTGTAAATGAGTTTCTCCTCAGGTAATAGCTACATGCTTTCTTTGTATATTTGCTAGTGATTTTCTGTGGGAACAGGTTCCCAGCATAGAGATGAAGCACTGTCTAGTGTCTCTGAGAGCTTGAAACTATGGTGTCCCTTGCAGAAGACATGATTATATGGGGAGGCCTTCTTCAGGGAACATTAAGGTACTTCAGGATGTGGGTTTGGTTTTGGCCCATGGACTAAGGAGTTGTTATTCAAGAACACATAGAACAGGGCTAGGGAGATAGCTCAATGGATCAGACACTGCTCTTCAAGCATGAGGACGTATATTTGGATCCCCAGGACCGACTGGAGAAACGCCAGTTATGGCAGCATGATCCTGTTACACTAGAGCTGTGGGTTTAATTAAGAAGAAACACATAGAACATGTCAATTATTGAGGGCCTGACCAAAACCAGATGTCAGAGGCTGGCAGTACCTCCTATATCTCACCAATACCCATGGCTCAGCATTCGCTCAAGCTAGTTCCAGCAACCAGTAAGCAGAATCTATGAGTAAGATTAGTGGAGTGGTAGCGGCATCCCTACCAAGAAGTTCTACCTATACTCTCAGCACACAAAACCCAGAATCATCCTGAAGCCAGAAAGGTAGATTCGCAGGTCTCCTTTGCATACCACATCCTAAATCAGTGTTGTGGGTGCACTACAAGTGTAGTGGCCATGGCTGAGAGATCCTCAGATTAAACTGCTACATCATAATAGCTTCCCAGTTCAGATCCCAGTCCTGAAGTTATAACTGGTTAGTGGCCCTCTCCTTTAACCCCAGCTGAAGGTCAACTGCAGTATGCAGGTACATGGACTCTAGTCATGCCCTTTCTGTCTGTCATGTTATTTAATATATTAAAGATAGTATAGTGCCTGCAGAAGCCTTTTCTCTGCCAGGGACAGGTATAAATGCTAACATGTGGCCCATCAGTCTCCAGAGACTTACCCATATGTATGATGAAAGCTTAGGGACTTGAGGCACTACATCTCCAGTGTCCTAGAGATGTAGAGATCAACTAGAGTCTCTTGATTCCCAGAAGGCCTTGGGCTCATCTGCATGCTTTCTCCTTAGAGCCTTAAACAGTCACCATAAAGAGCTTGCTTTGAAATACGTCCAGACAATACCACCACCATCTTGCCCACTAAGAAGCCAAGTTTCTTGACATAAAGAAGATAGGCACTGAACTCAAAGCAGGCAGCAGACACTGACAGGGCAGCTACCATTGCATCCTACAGACCAGCCCTGAGGCCAAGACAAACACCTCTTGGTAGGTTTCTCTCAATCTGTACCCACTGGATACTCATTAGTGCAGGAGGTAGCTGCGAGACAAAGGTCAGTTCAAAGGAGGAGAGAATGAAGATGCTTCAGGGATAAATATGCATGTCCTAGGGGAGGGACAACTCACACTGGACAGCCTATCTAGAGAGAATGGGCAGCAAGCTCTCAGCTTCAGTCTTCCAGCCCTCAATCAGCTGCTTTGGGTTTTACCCTCTATCTTACAGAAACACATTTTTGTTTTGTTTTGTTTTGTTTTCTACACACTAAAAGCAGTTCTTAAGGCTCAGCCACCACAGACCTGTCTCTCTTCTCTGCTAGAACTCTTGGCCCAATCATATCTCTCTTCAGCCAGGCTTCATAGTGTTTGCAGGTATCTCTGGCCTCCATCTGGGCCCATTTGTCTGCAAAGCTTAAAAACAGATTCTGCAAGGCCTGGCCTACTGCATTTTTACCCATTGGTCTGCAGAAGGATCCCTCACTATGGAATGTGGCCAGTGCTACCCACAAGCCCAGGAATGTCATGTTCGAGGATAATGGCCTTTGTACTTCATGTGTCCTCAACTATGTAAAACCAAATAGCCCCAAATAAGAGAATTCTCGTTGTAATGTTATTGATGATATAAAGTTGTCAGCAGCAGAACACAGCAGAGCAGATGTTAAAAATACCCTTTGTAAACACAGGTAGTTAGCCACATACCTGGGTTTGCCAGGGCTGGCCTTGGGAGCGACTTAGGCTCTTGCATAGTGGCAGTTGCAGGCCCAGACTGCTCAGCCCAAGAAAGTCAGGTTTACGTTCTTCCCAACTTCTGAAAAAGTCTGAAGTCAGCTTCTGTTAGAACTCATTGTGGAAGCCTGACGTGCTCATCATGACAGGACAAGAAATGAGCATGGGAGGATGCTAAGTGCAAGAAGTGGAGAAGAGTAAAACCTGGCAAATCAAGAGTCAGAAAAGGAAATTCTGTCCAGAGTCAAAGGACCAAATCCTGAGGTTCAGGGCATTCAGCCTAGAGCTCTGACCTGTCAGTACCAGGGCTCTTTCTACAAGATCTTTGTTTTGTCTAGATGCCTTGGTTATAAGGCAGGCAGAGGTGGGGAGATAAAGACATACAAGCTATGACTCTTTATAAATTTAATGATACATTTCCCAAGAAAATTCAACTCCAAATGGAAAACACAGTATTTCTACTGCAGTGTTTTCAGGCACTGTGGCCCTAACATAGTGATTTTGCCATTACAGGTATAGAAAATGATGAAGAAATCAAGCAGTTAGATGAAGAGATCAAGGAGCTTAATGAGTCCAATTCCCAGATGGAGGCTGACATGATCAAACTCAGAACTCAGGTAACAGTTTGTGAAGCCGCAATTCTCGCTCCAATGTGGATCCCTGCTTCTTGTTCCTCTGCGGTTGCTGCTCCTGATGTTGTCCCCATGTGCCTAAGCTACCATAGAACTCCTGTGAGCCTGCTGTACCTGCTTTGAGGGCATGGGGCTTACAGGCATATGGCAGCACGCCTGGCTCCAGTTCTAGCTCTAGTGAGAAGCTTGTCATTCCAGTTCTCACATAGAGTCTCAAATCTCATACCAATGTGAAGCTGGTGTTCTAATCCTATGATGATGCCTCAGTTCTAGTATTAGCAATTCAGCCTCAATTCTGGGTCTATTGCGGAGCCTCTATTCTGGTTTTAGTAAGAAGCCTCTTCTCTGTTCTAGTTGTAATGAGTATTGTTGCTTAGAGAGGGACTAAAAGCAGCTCCTGGGAGAAGCGTGGTTTCCTTGTTTTCCATTTCTCCCCATTTGTTCCCCCCAGTGGGTGACTTCGCCTTCTACAGAATCATTGCATGGCAATATTTGTTATAGCACAGTGGCTGTGGGTTGTCTACCTACCTATGTGTGTTTCTGTGTTCAACCAGACCATTTGCAAATAGCCATTCCCATAAGATCAACTGCTCTATGAAAGATGGAAGATGTGAGTCTTCTCTCAAGGTGTTTAGGCCCTGGTGTTATTTGAGAATTTTGCATCCATCTACAGTGGTAGTGGAAGCCCTAAGATTTCAGCGTAACATCACCTAATGCTTGGGTCTCCAAGCATGTGGGCTGATGGAAAGCTGATTTTGAATTTCAAGTTCTCAAGGTTTTGTGGCCAGCTGGGAAGGAGAGGGAAAAGCTTCTTGGAACACTCAGATGAGTGTCAACTAAGAGAGGAGCCCTTCATGACAATCACTGTGGCACTCACTGTGGCAAGTGTCACCATGGATATTAATGACACATATGACTTGCCATGTTCACTCAGCTCCTGGGTGAAGTACTCAAGGCCACTGTACTAATGTGTTAGGTTACACATTAACAGAGGACTTGAGGCAAACAGGACAAAGACAGGTTAAGGCTGAAGTCATTTCTGTCAGGATCGCACTGGAGAAAGTCACAGCCAGTGCCCAGGGCTATGGTTCTACCCAGGTGACTGGAGTTATGCTCAGGAAGAACCCAGACTTGACTTTGACAAAGAACTAGACAGTGAAGCCTAGAAAGTAAAAGTGGGGTACACACGAGCATTTCTGTGTCTCAAATACTTGCTAAGTAAAAACTACTTCCCCTGCCATTCTGATGCTGCCATCCACATTAGGCCATTTCTGCTGCTAACGCATGCTGTGCTATAGAAGAGCATGGCGTGAAGAAAGCAGGTCCAGTTTTACTCATGGTTCCGGAGATCCAAGACCTTTTCTAATTTTTATCACCCACACAGGCTGCATTGCTAACATCAATATTTAGATTAAGTTTTCACCCTCATCACTCTTCACAGTAGGTTTCAAATGTCAACATGTGAAGCCCAGGGATACTCAAATCCCACACAAACCATTGTACCTTCTCTAACCAGAGACCACTGGTGTGAAATATTCAATGTGTTCAGTTCCCTGTCCACTGTAAGAATTCAATCTGAGGAGCAAATTTCCCTGTTACCATATAACTGAGCAGGTGAGCCCACTGTTTGGTAATATACTTGAGCAGTGTTTCTGGTCAAGTTGGTACAACCAAGATGGCTCTTATGAGCCTGGAAATCTTAAATGTTTCTGTGTTTTGCAGCTCTATACAGAAAGGACTCTTAATAGGACTTCAGATAACTCTCTGGACAAGCAAAATGGCCAAAGACAATATACACTTCACCCCAATTCAGTTGTACTCAATGTAGTATAGGTATTGGGGCTCAGGGTATTCTGAGCACCCAGCTGGGCACTCCCAGACTTTGAGTCTCAATTCACCAAGTTAAATATGACAGATCTCATCCAGTCCAAATCAGTCCATCCACTGTATGTAAGTTTTGAGAGCTTATACAGTGACTCAAGCAGAGAGCTACAAAAGTGAGCTGAGCACATCTGGACCAAGGGAAACACAGAAATTGAATATATGCCTGATAAATAACAAGAAAGAGGAGACAAGACTCACAGAACAAGGCACGGGAGGAAAGTGATATGGATATAAGCTACCACTGGGTGGTTGTTCTGTGGCCAGGAGAAATGGAAGAGGCCATGGGTGATTGGAAGGGAACGTTCTAATACAGAAAATATAGGAGCAGAAGGGGGGGTTCAGATTAACCCTGAAAAGAACCTCTCCCCTTTGGTCACCAGTTGGGCTGAGCAGCTTTGCTGAGGAGGGAGAAGAGAAAGAGATGCTAGAACATGAAAGTGAATCATACTCTCAGAGAAGACTGCTAATGAGAAATTACCTGGCATCTGGCCCTGTCCTTTCTAGCTTTGCCTTGGCTAAGTTGGCAGGTGTCAGCCTGCAGCTGGTGTTCAGCTGCTGTGTTTCTGTGCTACTCATCAGATTGTGGTTTATTCTCTCTGTGATCTAAAACTCTCCGTATAACTCAGTCTTAATCTAAACCTTCAACACCTCTCTTGATCCCACTTCTATCTCATGTGGTGGTAGGCACAGAAGACCACATTGCTACAGAGCTTTCCCGAAGTCTTGTTCCCTCAGTGACCTCATACTGGCCATATGTCCCTGTCCTGTGCATCTTCTGCATGTGTCTGTGAAGTAAGCCACACTGACTTTGAATCTCAGCAGCTAGGAATCATAGAACAAATGAGCTGGCTTCTGGACCCTACAGCCTTTGTCATGACAGTTCTATTCCAGGTGAAAGTGGCACAAGACTCATAGCTGCTGCCGTATAGCTCTATGTGGTACTGTGCATGAGTTAAACAATGTGACTGCATCACAGGGTGATGTCATCCTTATGGATCTCCAGTAACAATTGAAAGAAGGAAAACAAAAAGAAACAGGCTCACGTGTCTCTCAAAACTGGGCCTTGAACTGTCTTTGATCTTTAGTAACTTCTGATAGAGGCCAGCCTAGAAAACATTTAGGCCTGGAGGCAGATGGAACCAGGCAGGCAGGCAGACATGAGACTTGCTCAGGAGTAAATCTGTGGTGTGTGCTTATCTTTTGAAGACCTTCATCTTGGTTTATCCTCATTAACCTTCTATCATGATCACAGAGGATCTGAGGGCCCCTAGAGTTCAGACCCATGCTACCTGAGAGTGTTCTTCCATGAGATCCAAAACAGGCACATTCTGATTGCAGCCTGGCTCTGAAGGTGGTACAGGCTCTCCACAGACCACTGCTGGGGACCAGAGCGTTTAGGAGCCTGAGGAGGAGGTAGAGATGTCCTCTGTATACTCTCCTGTAGCACTATGCCTGCAAGAATGGCCACACTGTGTTCAATGGCTTTGACACCTTCAGTGGAGTTAAATACTTTAGAAAAAAACAGATAACCTTGCTGCCAGTTTATGTACAGGCTCTTGTCCTAAGAAACAAGAAAACTATAAAAATTCAGAAAACTGCTAGGGAAGGCGGGGCTCCCCTGTGTAAGTGGACATCCAGGTTCACAGCACCTTAACACAGGCCTCAGGCGTTCAGATCTGAGTTCACAGGAACTGAATTGAGGGCCCAGTTGGAAGCTGGAAAGTCAGTTAGTTAGTCAAGAGGAAGGAAGCCAGGCTGTGAGACTTAGAGGGTCCCACAATTTTATATCTGTGTGTCCACCCTTTAAATGTCCCACTCACTATTCTGAGTGGTCTAGGCACCCTTCTAAACGGCCCAGGCCCATGTGAATGGCCTGGGACTGGCTGGGTTCACACCTGGAGACTGAAATTTCTAAGCCACACTTGCAGCTTGAACTGCCTTTCTGTATGGGACTTGCACTAGACTTTTCTGCAATCCCCGTAGTTTCCTCAACTGCTTATGTGGCATTGACACGTGAGATTTTTTTTTTTTTTGTCTTGAAAACAGGGTAGCTCAAGTCTCTATAGCTTCTTCTTGGATGGTGGGTGCTCCACACAGCTCCTGGAAATGACAGGGTGTCTTTGGCTAGAAAGACCCTTTAGCTACCTTTAGACACATGAGTGGGAAATGCAGGTTAGAGGGAAAATTTATCTGAAATAGCCCTATGAGTGCTGGAAGCCACAGTATCCATTTAAGAGGAGAGGAATAGAGAGATGGAGAGGGGCCTGTCATGGGCTTCTGAAACCTCAAACCTTAGCCCCCAGTGACACACTTCCTCTAACAAGACCACACCTCCTAATCCTTCTCAAGCAGTGCCACTCCCTGGTGACTTCAAATCTGTGAGGCTATGGGGGCTGTTCTTGTTCAAACCACCACAGGTGGAAACATTAATTTGACAGAAAAAAATGCTAGAATGTTGACCAGGATGTACAGGGGAGGAAACCATATGGCATCAAGAGGTTCCCCCAGTAGGACAAAAGAAACATGTTCATTCCATGGAGAAGCCCCACTAACATTGCTGCCCAACTCAGTATCTCTTAGAATTTCACAGGCCCTGACTATAGATGAGACGTGAGAGCCTAAAACTTAAACCAAGTGCAGTTAAAGAATAACAAGAAAATAAGGAAAGTTGAGAGTAATGGAAAGAGGGATAGAGACACTCAGGAGAGAGGAATTCAGTGTAGGGGTCACATGGCAAGTCTTCAGCTCTCCTGGACTTCTTAGAACAGTGTTTCTTACCCTGTGAGTTGAGACTCTTTTGGAGATCAAATTACCCTTTTACAGGGTTGCCTAAGACCTTCAGAAAACACAGATATTTACATGATGATTCATAATAGTACTAAAATTACAGTTATGAAGTAGCCACAGGAATAATTTTATTTGGGTCATCACAAGCTGAAGAACTGTATTACAGGGTCACAGCATTAGGGAAGTTGAGAACCACTGTCTTAGGAAAAGGAAGCCAAACCAAGAGACCAGTCAGACCTCTACCTGCATACATTTACTAGTTATCTACAGGGACAGAGCACCCGTCAGAGCAGACAATAACACCACAAAGAGAAATTAACATCATTAATTCTAAAGAACTAACATCATTCCCTACAGGACACAGGGACAGAGCGGGCAGATGAGAGTATCCAGACCTGAGAGCATTCAGTGAAGGGAGAGAAAGCAGTCAGTCAGTAGGGATACCTCCATGGTCGCTGTTCCTAGCACTATGTGCTCAAATGTAAAGAATCAAAGACACAAATTCAAGTCCCCACGGTGCAGCCTCTGCTTGAGCAGAAAGCTTCTGTCCTGTCCCCTCAGCCAGTGTGCATGCTCCCAACAGCCAGCCTCCTGTTACATGTCACCCAAATGTGTGATTTCAGATCACCACAATGGAGAGCAACCTGAAGACGATCGAGGAGGAGAACAAAGTCATTGAGCAGCAGAATGAGTCGCTCCTGCACGAGTTGGCCAACCTGAGCCAGTCCCTGATCCACAGCCTCGCCAACATCCAGCTGCCTCACATGGTAAGTGACTAGGCATAGGTGAGCATCTCGGAGCCTCCGCAGTCCACTTCACTGAGTAGTTGTCTGTGCCATTGTCTGTGGTCCTTCAGCTTTTGGTTGTTTTTGGTCACCACCCTGAAACCATACCGTTAACCACTAGCAACATTGGTGGGGCTGATCGCATAACGTTAAGTGTGCTCTGAGTAGGCCTGTTAAGTATTATGGAAACAGTGGCTCTATGCTATGATACTGTTTTATGCTTTTGTGAATATACTATTCAGAAAATAAAAGTTGTATATGAACTACTATTTAATATCTCGTAGGATCCAATCAATGAACAAAATTTTGATGCTTACGTGACTACTTTGACGGAAATGTATACAAATCAAGATCGTTATCAGAGTCCAGAAAATAAAGCCCTACTGGAAAATATAAAGCAGGCTGTGAGAGGAATTCAGGTCTGAACAGCTGCTCTAGTGATGACTCATGCTTTAAAAGGATGCCTCTTGTTTCTTGCTGCTGTAACTTACCAGAAAGTGTTATATATTGATTTCTGTCGGAACAGTGTTATGCTACAAGACTTCATAATGGTTTTGTGTGCTCTCGAGATAGTACCTGCAGACTAGTTTTGGATACATTCACATTTTGTACGTTTTCATATAAGCTGACATAGTGTGATTTACCATGTAATGTTTATAGCTGCTGCTGTCTGCACATTTGGGGGTCTCTATATATTTCTGAAGAGGTAAGCTGATGAAAATAAATAGAGTGTAAATTCTTTTTAATGCTTTAGTGATTAAATGTTTTAGTATTTTGAACTGAAATGGACAAAAAGAAAAAGGAAAAAAAAAGCAGGTTTGAATGATCACTTTGTGGCCTCCTGGCCACTCTTAGACATTATCATTTTGCCTCAGGTTGGAGGACTTTGTGGAATTTAAGAAATACATTTTGTGTGCATATTGTTTCATAGCAAGAATTGGTTGCAAAAAAATGCTTTATTTTTGAACAATGCTTGGAAATATTATGTGACTTTTTTGTTTGTTTGTTTTAGGAGGATGGTGTATGGTGGGGGCAATAAATGAGGTTTTTTGCATTCCAAGGAAATGGCATATGGATTAACTGTAAGAAATGAAATAAGTAATTTATTGTAAGACAACATCAAGCCATGGAAACTTGGCAGAAGATTCAAAGCAGCTTAAACAGCACTTTTAATTAACTCCTAAACATTACATGGTGGGACTGTGGAGACTCGTGACAGGAGCTTGTCAGAGGTGGACAACACGAAGATTTCCTTTGCGTTTTCAGTAACCTTTGGAGCACACTTCTCTTATTTCTCCTAGAGCCCCGTGCCCCTCTGAACTGTTACCACAATCTAGCTTACCTAGCAGAAGTTGATTGTTTTTTCAATTTGAGCAAACAGGTAATTTAAGCATTTATCTCCCCCTTTCACTTTCAAAAAGCATCACCATTGGTTATTCTTGTTTCACATCTGAGGATGAAGGCTAACGGCTGTGCTTACCCCGGTTACTGGATGGGATTTTCTGCTGGGAGGGTGGGAAAGCAGCTCTACCGTCCCCTTCCCCTCCCTGCCCCAACTCTTGACTTTGAATAAGCCTTGGTCCTATCCAGAACACGCTGGACACCAAGGCCAAGGACGTTCACGTTCTGCCCTCGCTGGGTCCAGCTGACTCTAGCGTCTGCACAGCCTTGTATGACTCATGGTGACCTAACCTGAGAAAGAGTGCAATCAGATGTTAAAGTAACTAAATAGACTGCGGCACTTTTTTGCTTTAAACTAGATCATCTTAGATTTGTCGATACCTTTGAAATTTGATGGTTTCCTCCCAAATGACTGCACTATATGTATGCATACGGCCACTTTTGATTGCTGCGCCCCTTCTGAGTAGTCTTTGACAATGTGTTGTGTTCCCCGATGTCGACTTGATTTCCTTTCAGTAGCATCTCTCTCTTCCATGTCTTGATGTTATGCAGGAAGTACAAAAGTACTTTAAAATTTTGTTATGAAATAAAAAAAAATGATGGGTTTTGTAAAAATAATAAAAAAATATTTTTAGCAGAACAGGACTTACAGGGTCATTGTCCCCACAATGTGCCAGTCGGCTCTTTGCACTCGCCTTGTCCTATATATCCGTACGGAGGTGTGCAATCCTGTGTCAGTCGCCTTGTGACACTGAAGTGGATGAGTTATAGAGGAGGCCCTCGAGGCTGACCCAATACGGTTACTAAGGGAGACTACAGGGATCTCACGACAAATATTCTGATACAATACTCAACCTCGGTATATATATATATGTATAAATATAAGAATATCCCAGCGGCACTTTATACTGTTCACTGTACAAAAGCTTACAGTTTTCCACAAGGACTTTAATAACTAGCTGGGGAAAAAAATTATGTAATTACTTGGGGCTCTGCAGAACCTTCTCTGTCCAGTGCCCCCTTTCTGTTGTGCGATTAGTTGTAGCTGCCATGCTCAGAATTGCCTTTTTGAGAGCTGAAGCAAGGTGCTTACTGTCACCTGATGCCATACACATGGTCCCAGGCCCACACTTGGGGGGGGGGGGGCCTCTGTTCATAGCGGCACATGCATTTCCCCACCGCGTCTTGTCTGCAGCTTCTTGGCCAATGTAGTAATGCTTTTAGTAGAGTAATAGGTAGTATCAGTTTGGATTCTTATTGTTATCACCTATGTACAATGGAGAGGGGTTCTAAGCACAAATCTGCTGCTCATGTAACGTTGGTACATAATATCAAATCAAAAGTTATCTGTGACTATATATAGGGATCACACAGTGTCACATGTTAGAATGCTGACCTTCCACATGGGGTTATTGTGAGTCATCAGAGCATATTTATTATAACTTATTGTTCATATTCATTTCTAAGTTAATTTAAGTAATCATTTATTAAGACAGAATTTTGTATAAACTATTTATTGTGCTCTCTGTGGAACTGAAGTTTGATTTATTTTTGTACTACACGGCATGGGTTTGTTGACACTTTAATTTTGCTATAAATGTGTGGAATCACAAGTTGCTGTGATACTTCATTTTTAAATTGTGAACTTTGTACAAACTTTGTCATGCTGATGTGAACACATCTTACTCTGAATAAAAAGGTGTTGCCACGTTTGTAGCACGAAGGATCTCGAATGGGTCTGAGTCTTCACTGGAGGGCCATTCAGGCTCCTGGAGTCCACGTCCCTGGTCCTGGCTTTTGGAGTAGCCCTATGGGGTTGGGCTGGAACTTGGGACATGGATGGATATGCACCCACAAGCATCATGCGTGCTGTGCTTCCCAGAGGACAACGTTGCCTTGTTTACTATTACTCCTGCCCCTCCCCCCTGCCCCAGCTGAGATCCAGCCTGAGCACCTGGATTAGCACCTGGTTGCTTAGGTGCAGATGTCTCCCAACAGCTTGGCATCCTTCTGCAACTCTCAGGCTTCAAACAGCACTGCTGTTGGTGAACGTAGGCCCATAACCAGAAGGCCCAGTGGGACTGAAGGGGCTTTCCCAGGTTTTCCTTACCTGGAATGCAATCTGGGATCACATACTAGCTCAGATTCCTGCTCCACCCACTGAGCATCCCCATCACTACAGTCCCTTGTGTCTGCCAAGACACAGAGGTTTCAGGGGGGCAGCACTGTTACTTCACGCTGTGTCCCACATTGGCTGTGTGATCGCAACCTTCTGACTGATTCATTTTAAAGGAATGCTTTGCTCTTGTACATAGCAGAGCACATGACATCACCTGGCTGTTATTGGTTATAAAACTCCGGAGCTCACAAAGGATGAAGTGCTGCTTTCAGGCCATTAGCCAGGAGCCAAGCGACAAAGTCACCTATGAGATGTAACTGGCCCTTCAAATGTGACACACACACCATCCTATCCCATTAATAAAAGTCACAGATTAAAATTCCACAATAGCCTCCTATAGCGTGCACAATTCCCTAATACATAGAATCTAAGGAAGCAGCCCCTGTAATCTTGCTTAAACTGGAAACTCACTCCCCGTGGTGACTTCTGCTGCTAAACACTTTGGGTCAAGTGAGCTCCTCAGACCCTGTTCCAGCAGATTGCTTCTTGGAGAGCTGGCAGCATCAAGACAGTGCCTGGAGCTGATGCTCAGATCTTCCAGTGCCAGTAGGTGAGCAGTGACCCTTTCCCCAAGTTCCTTCATTTCTGCCTCAGAGCTGCCTGTGGAGTTCTATTAAATCCTGTCTTTTGGAACAAATAAAGTTAACAGAAAGGCAGTTGTCAATGTCTCAGGTCAGCCAACCATGGAGCAACCCTAGAAGCAAGATCATTATTTAAAACTGTTCAAATAACATTCAGAATCTTAGAAAAGAAAAGAAACTCACTGGTCCACAATGTTTATTCTGAATATATAAATAGATTTTAAATAATCCTAAATTCCTATAATGGAGAAATGAGTGGACAAATCTGAGAAATGCATAGCAGAAGTGATACAATACCAACCATAGTGGAATAAATCAGGTAAGTGACCAAAACCCAGGGGGGCAGCATTAGGGTGGGCTGAGTACACACAGGTAACTCACAGGCACAGCATAGCATTGGTGTGGGTCCAGCAAGAACAGAGAAGGAGGATAAAGCAGGAAAATAGTCACAGGCCACTGCCCTAAGAAAATCAGAAGAAGAAGGGCCCTTGAATGGCTATTGCTCACAATGCCTCTGAGTAGGACAGCACAGGCAAGACAATGAACAGAGTGGCATCCCTTACTTGTGTCTCAGAGCCTGAGACTTCCCAGTCTTCCTGGTCTCAGGGAGAAGGGTTGAGGCATGTATTTCTCACATAGATGCATATATACGTGTGTATGTATGCATGTGTGTTTGTGCACATGTGTGTTTGTGTGCACATATGTGTGTTTGTGTGCACGTGTGTGTGTGTGTGTGTGTGTGTATTTATATATTGGGGGGGTGTCTCTCTCTTTTTGTGTAGCCATCACAAAATTAATTTTATAGGCCAGGCTGGCCTCAGACTCAAGGATCTGCCTGCTTTGGTCTCCTGAGTACTGGAATTTAAGGCATATGCCACCATTGCCTAGCTTTAAATTTTGACTTTTATAACCTTAATACCTAAGCACAAGAGCTGGGGATGATGAGGGAAGAAGTCATGGTCTGTGGCCACAGCAGATATCTAGAGTGCCAAAGAACAGCACGTGTGCACGAGTACACACATGTACACACACACACACACACACACACACACACACAAGACCATCCTTACTCCAAAGGTCCTCTTACTCCTCCAAACTACACAGGGTCTGTCTCCCACTCAACTCTACAGTATTGCTTCTATCATTTATGTTGCTCAAGTCTTTTTTCTTCATTAAGGCAAGGTAAGAAAACAAAGAATAAGTGAGTATCAACAAAAATATTGGGTTACATGGGGGAGACTTAGTGGTGAAGGATATCTAGTAA